GTCTCCCTAATAACATACAAATAATTCTTGCTGCTTCCAATGAAGATCTAACCCGTTTAGCAGCAGCAATGGCTGACAAAATTAATGAACTTGAACTTGTACTCCAGCTTATGTCAGTGCTGCTAATGCTGCACCTTCCAGTTCATCCCTCGAACAACAAGTGGCTGAATTGACCAAAAAAGTATCTGAACTCTCTACAAGTCTTCATGCTTCACGGAGATACAATCGATCAAATCAGGGCCCACGTAATAAATTTCGTGCCCGAAGCAGGAGTCAATCTCGTCACAATACTCGAACGCAGTACAAAGAACCCACAAGTGGCATATGTTTTTATCATATGAATTTCGGCTCTCTCAAGCTCGCAAGTGTGCCCCTCCATGCACTTTTGTACAAGCGGGAAACTAAATGGGCGGTCTTCTGCTGGCCAACAGAATGTCCGCCACATCGACAGAATAGTACTGGCTGATCGTTCAACTCAGTTATGTTTTCTAGTAGATACTGGAGCTGACATATCAGTGCTCCCGAGAACTAAAACAAATGCTCACCAACTTAATAAACTTGTACTGTATGCAGCCAATGGTACCCAAATTGCAACCTACGGCACCAAACTATTGACACTTGATTTAAACTTGCGCCGGACTTTCAACTGGCCTTTTATTATTGCGGATGTAACTCAAGCAATTATTGGTGTCGACTTCTTGACACATTTCCACCTTCTAGTGGATGTCAAGAATAATTGCTTAATTGATGCTACAACTCAGCTGACATCACAGGGCCAAGCTTCTCACATATCAAACGTACCTACCAACATAAGTGTTTTATATCGGGCAGCACACACGGTTTCATCGGTTATTAGCAGAATTCCCTGACATTTTAAACCCATCCAAATCAGGGCAGCATACTCATCAGCCAGAAGTGTATATCATCACATTGAAACACATGGCCCACCTGTATTTTCCAAGCCTCGTCGTCTTTCTCCAGAGATGCTAAAAGCTGCTCGCAAAGAATTTGAATTCATGCTAGCACAGGGAACCATTCGCCCATCTAAAAGTCCATGGGCCAGTCCACTTCACATGGTTAAAAAGTCTAATGGTGACTGGCGGCCGTTGTGGAGATTATCGTCGACTTAATGCCGTCACAGTCCCTGACAGATATCCAGTCCCACATATCCAAGACTGTACCCATCTTTTTCATGGAACAAACATATTTTCTACCCTCGATCTTGCCAGAGCATATCATCAGATCCCAGTGCATGCTGAAGTGCTGAAGATGTGCCCAAGACCGCAGTGACTACACCATTTGGTCTCTTTGAGTACTTATATATGCCATTTGGCCTTCGCAATGCTGGCCAAACATTTCAGCGTTTCATACACCAAGTACTGTCTGGCCTCGATTTCTGCATCCCATATTTTGATGATATCCTGGTTGCATCTACAGATGCGGAAGAACATTTTCAACATCTGCGTCAGATTTTCACTCGCCTTAAAGATCATGGATTAAAACTAAATCCATCCAAATGTGTACTTGGTCAACCCTCAGTTTCCTTTCTTGGATGTCTTATCACCCAGAACGGAGTCAAAAGTCAAACCTTTACCGGAAAGAGTCAAAGCAATTAACGACCTACCTCAGCCCAAAACCATCTCTGAACTGAAGCGTTTTCTAGCAATGTTAAATTTCTACCGACGCTTTCTGCCAAATGCCGCAAAACATACAAGCCTGCCTACATGAGTTTCTGAAGAGTAGCAAAAAAAAAAAAACGATCAACGAGCTGTCCCTTGGACTGAATCTGCATCTGCAGCATTCGTGCAATGCAAACACGATCTGGCAAATGCAGCCACACTTTCTTATCACTCACCTAGTGATCAGCTCTCTATAATGGTAGATGCATCTGACACGGCCATAGGAGCAGTGCTTCAAGCCCATACCACTAAAGGACTTTCCCCAATGGCATTCTTTTCCAGAAAACTTACTACTGCAGAAAGGAAATACAGCACATATGACAGAGAGCTACTTGCTGTGTACTGTGCTGTGTGCTGTTAAATACTTCCGGCACAACTTGGAAGGACACGACTTCATCATTTTCACCGATCATCGACCATTAACCTTCGCTTTTAGAAAAAACTCTGACTCATGTTCTCCTCGTCAGCTTCGACATCTGGATTTCATCGCCCAGTTTAGTTTAGTACAGATATCAGATATGTCTCTGGTACTGATAATTGTGTCGCTGATGCCTTGTCTCGGGTAAACAATATCAACCTCACTACCCCAGATTTCTCTGAAATTACAAAAGCTCAATTGCATGATGAGGAACTCAAGAACCTAATCTCAAATCCACAAACCTCCCTTCAGTTACAACCGCTGCACATTGATCCAACGCTTAAAATTTACTGTGACATAGAGAACAATAGAATACGTCCCTATATTCCTATCAATTTTAGACGTGAAGTGTTTAATGCCTTGCACAATTTGGCACATCCTGGAATCCGTGCCACCAAAAAGCTGATCGCAGACAGATTTGTCTGGCCAGCAATGAATCAAGACATCACAGAATGGACTCGTTCATGTATTAGATGTCAACGGTGTAAAGTATCCCGTCACACTCACAGCCCCATTCAACAATTTAACCTTCCAGCAAGACGCTTTGATCATGTGCACTTGGACTTGGTTGGCCCATTGCCTCCTTCAAATGGTTACACTTACCTCCTCACTTGTATTGATCGGTACACAAGATGGCCTGAAGCCATTCCTATTGAAAATATATCCGCTGAAACTGTAGCTCGAGCATTCATCTCCCAGTGGCTTTCAAGATTTGGCATGCCTACCACCATCACTACTGACCAAGGCCGACAATTTCAATGTCACTTGTTCGCATCCCTCACCTCTCTTCTTGGCATTCGCCATATTCGCACAACACCATACCATCCATCTGGAAATGGGATGGTGGAACGCTTTCACTGATCTCTCAAACAAGGTCTGAAGTGCCACAGTAGCACACACTGGACAGAAGCCTTAGCCCTAGTCTTGCTTGGTCTTCGCACAGCATTCAAAGAAGACATTAGTAGCACTTGTGCTGAAATGTTATATGGTGCAACCCTCCGTCTGCCAGGTGAATTCTTTCACCCAGAATCTACTCCAGTAATCGACCCTCCAACATTCCTTCAACGTTTACGTGAGACCATGAGCAATATATCTCGCCAACCCCAGCATCTTCGCATAACCAGCCAAGCTATTTTGTACATGCTGCGCTTGAGACATCTTCTTCGCACGTATTCGTGCGCAACGATGCAATTAAGCCAACTTTAACACCTTCATATGATGGTCCATTCAAAGTTGTCAAACGAACACCCGAAACATTTCACCATCATCTGCAATGGTAAACATCAGTGATTGGAATCGATCCTCTCAAACCAGCATTTCTAATGCAAGATCCAACAACTTCCTCATCAACATCACTCCTCAGAAAACGGAAGAAAGCTTACATCCCGTTAAAGAGCAACCTAAAACTACCAGATCTGGAAGAAAGGTTAAATTTAACCCAAAGTACTTATAACGTACCGATGGTACTTGGGGGGGGGGGGGGGGGTAGTACTGTGGCGTTCCGACAGATACTTCAACTTCTATTCATGAGATGGTGCCACGTGTAAGATCCAGTTCTTAATCGGAGCAGCAGCAAGCGAACATCTTTACTCACTCAGACTTCTCGTCGGACAACGGTACGCGAAGGTAGCATGAACTGTGTTCCGAGCTCTGCGTTGATCTCTTCAATTGTAATTTAATTGTATTTAGTAGTATTAATATATTCTTTTGTTATAGGAGATTGTCTACTCTTATTTTCTTTAATTATATCATGCATTAAGCACACACGACCACCAAATGGGACAACAAGCAAGATGACCACCATGGGTGCAGAAGACTCTAGTCTACTGTGGAAACAGTCAAAGAAAGAAATTTAGTCATATTCTGTATTGTTACTTAAATAAAGAAAACATGAATATTAGCCATGTTCAGTATTGATTTAAACTATGTTCCCAGAAATACTGATTATTTTCAAAGTTAGTAATTGAAGAGGTTTCATTATTTTAAAAGTTACCACGCTTTAATATTTAATAATCTTGCATGAAAACAACAGGTTAAAAAAAACCACTAATTTTACTTATTCTCTCTTAACCACTTTAATGACCGAATTTATATTAAAACTTATGCGAAAAATCCCTGAATTTTTTATAACATTTTTATTATCTACAGATATAGCTCACTAGATGTAGCTTTGTGAGGGGAAAATTTTTGACGGAAAAAACAAGATATTTATTATGGTTAATAAAAGTACCCGAGTTAACTCGGGCTTCAATGAAGCAGCAGGGGGGGGGGAATCCTGCCAAAAATAAAACAAAACTGTAGTCAACGTAATAATAGGTAATAAGAGCTAAAGTAAAAATTAAGTAAATACATTTTATGATCCATAAATGTCATTGGTTATACAGTCTGAAATATGGTGTAACATATAGCGGCACAGTCTGCAACAGCATGATAATCTGGTAATCAAACAAACTGAATTTAATAACAAACAAACTGATTTTACGGTTCATTTATAATGCGACCATGTCGCCAACTGCAGCTCAGGGTTGTGATTGGAGGGGGAAAAAATCACAAAAGCCGCTTGGGCTTGGACCTTTCCCACAGCTAAGAAAACATGTGTATGGCAGAGTGTAGATGAACCATACACAAAAGCCAGTTGGACCCCTCCCACAGCTAAGAAAACATGTGCAAGGCAGAGTGTCGATTGCCATGCGATATAATGGGCGATGGCATCTCAGCACCCTAGTTAACTCCTTCATAGGAAAATCGAAACGGCATCTATCTTGGCCGCAGTCCTTAAGCAGTTAAATTCTATATAACAATTTGTAGATAGATCCTTTACAATATATTTTAAAATAAAATTAACTTTCTTTACAGAAACTAATTTAGCATAATTGTTAAAAAATGAAATTGAATGTCTTAACCTGGAATAGCACTTCATCAAACAATAATAAAGGACCCGTAGTTCCAATGATGATCAGAGGCTGCCCAGCCAGAAGAGAAAATAAAATGCCACAAATAGCTGTTCCTATCAATGTTTCAGGAACTCCTATTTTCAAATCTGTTTTGTCAGCTGTAAATGTAATAAAAATATGAATTTAAATTAGAATGATCATATTAAAAATGCTTGATAAAAAAATTACAATGTAGTTAAAGGGAGTAACCTCTTTTTTCAATAATTCAGTAATTAGTTATATGGACACAGCCATATTAAAAATCAGCAGACAAGAGCTGAAATGTATCTTTTTTAAAATTTAAATAAATACCAAATTTTGAATCTACAGCAGCTTAGTTTGCCATTAGTATACCATAAAGGTGCATCATAAAAATTCAAGAAAGATTTCTAGATGAAGTATTTATTTATTTATTTATTATTGTTTTCCCTTGTTCTTCAAATACTAGTTGATTGCAAGCATCAGGTAAAAATAAGAACCTTTGCTATTTTAAATATGTAAAACTGTAGTTCCTTCATAACAAAGATGATGCCCAGCAATGCATCATAGCTATAACCCCAGTTATGTGGTTTTAAGTGTGTGCATTGATACAGTAGCAACATAATTTTCCAGCCAAACAAATGAAAGTATCAATTTAGTTTTCACAGTACGCTCAGTTTAGCACCTCAGCAGTAAATGTAATCTATCATGTTTTAGAGGCATTGGAATATAACACACTGAATGATCAGATGGCCAAATATTGATTTGCAACTTTCGAAATACTGAATCTTATTAGAAGATGAACAGTACACTGTCAGATTAGTGAGAATAAAAAAGCATTTAAGGACACAGTAGAATGAACTGAGCTGCACCAAAATTACACTTATTTCTTGCATACAGCTAACCCAGCAGCTGTGGAGGGGTAAAGTCACTGAACACTGGTACTTGGATTCAATTCCAGGTGAACGCACTGGCTCAGTGAACATTTCCATGGCTTTTCCCATGTGTAATATGGGTATGAAACAATTTCTTTTTCTGAAGTTTCAAGAAGTTGACAAAGTTTTTCAGGCTTTTCAAAAAGTCAGCAAGAATCAGTGTATAGAAAAGTGTGTTACTTTTTCCAGAATAATGCTCCCTCATTTGTGGTAAGAGCTACCAAAGACACCATTATAAAAGTGATGAGTTCTTCTTTCCAAGGTGAGAAGGCATAGGTTGAACCCCCATGCCTGATTCGACAGGGTGAGGAAACTCTTAGTGTTATTAAGTTGACGGAAAGAGGAAGCCTGTTGGCTTAAATGAGAAAAATTTATTAATCTGACTCTATATCTCTCACCTATGGATTGAAGATTTTATTTCTGAAGTAAGGTGTGTTGGTGAATAGGAACAAACAGCAGATTGGGCTTTATGTGACAGCAGTCTAATTTCCAGACTTTGATCATGCTGCTAATTATAAAACTACATTTCCAAAAAATATTTGACTGAATATACATTTTATTTTGTAATATTAACGAAGTATAAACAGAAGTTCGGACATAATTGTAACAAAAAGATACAAGAAAAGGTGATCAAGAAATATTTTAACCACTACATATGAAAACAAAAACACCTACTGCTGAATACTCATTAAAATACCAGTTACTCATACTATTTTAAGTAAATTAGGATTCTAAATGATAAAATGATATGGGTGACTTCTATTGATGAAAAACGCAGTATAAATTTTATTTATAAAGAGTTATTTATTAATACAGATGCATATCTCTTGCCTTAACCTTTGCTTTCTACATTTTAGATAATGTTAAAGGTATATTATAAAACACTGATTATAATATATAATAAAACAAAAATGAAATGGAAATACTGAAGCTTTTTCAGTATGCTTAAATAAAGGTATAAAACAAATTACACATAGCATATTATAAATTAAATAACAAATAAAACTTCATTATTAATATCTAATTTTTTACAACGCTCTCTTACTTGGTTAGCTTATTCATTATGCCATAACTTTCTATAATGTTCAGTAAATCTAGTTCATAAATTATCAACATTAATGACAAATTATACTACATATATTTATCATAGCTAATCTGCCATAGGAGTTTAGAGCCGAGCTGATATTTTTTTTATTAAAAATAACACATTAATAGCATAATTAAAAAGATAACACATTAATGGCAAAAAGTATGGTACAATTAATGAATGAAATAGTCTAAAAAATGCTTTTCTTAAAAGAAAAATAATTAATTTGTAGTATTTTTTTATAGTTATCATATGAGTTTTATGGTTATCATATGTGAATTTGGTTATCATACAAGTTCAAATAATGTTATATAAATTGTATAAACTTATTCAATGCTTAACTCCATGTTTTAGTTTCATTTAGTTTAATTATTCTGTTTTAAAGTCTATGTAAAATGTATGCCTTTATTTTGTATCTAAAATGTAAATACTCATTGTCATCTTGCATGGAGGCTGTTTTGGTTTTAGAAATCTTTCCGACTTCTGCGAATAAAGGTAATTTGTATGCCACTGATAAGGCCACACCCAATCTGCATAAACAATAATTCATGATCTCTAGCTCACATATGGCACAAACTAGCTCACATCCTAGTGCCATCTATTCACATACTCGAGGGCAAGAGACTGCTGTGTAATGGTGACCTGTTATAAATGTTCTAGGACCTTTATGCCAAGTATTCCAATTTGTTAAGATTTACAAAGACGCCCCATTATAAAAGTGCCAGCAGCACAGTCAATTTAATTCAGCTTTTCATGAATGAACTTATGAAGTTCAGTATTTAATTTGAAAAAAGCAGCCTTTATAACAATATTTTTATGCCAGAGCATCCTTGTGAAGATTTCTGTGTTGTTGAAGTGTCCCTTCAAAAAGGTGTCAGCAACTTTTTAAATAAGTGCCATTTTTAAGAGCTCTCCATGATTAGACACGAAAATTCGGCACAATTATTCTACAGAATGAACCGAAATGTATGATGATGAATTTGTAACAAGTTGATGACAAATTTTGTTACAAGGATGAGTTTAACATGTTTACTCCTTAAATTAATTATACTTTTTGATTTTTAATATTATTAAATCTCTTCCCCCCATGTCTCTACTGTATACAGTCTCGTATTCTTAGGTAACAGCAAATGTATGAGAACTTTTAGACTGAAGGTGAATTATCGCTATGTCTTGTAAGTACAGTCAAAAGTCGTTAATCCGGACTCATCAGGACTTCGGCAATTCCGGATTATTGATTTTTCCAGATTATAGATCATCAGTTTAAATCTGGTAAGATGGCATGCAGAAATATTAAAATTAAAAATATGAAACCGTTATTTATGAAATAAAGAACAATTATGATTTAAAGGGTATCAAAATTTACAAAAAAAAAAAAAAAAAAAAAGCTTAATATTTATTTGTTTACTTTATTAAACATTTCTTTCAATGTAAGTTGTTTAAGTTGCTTCGTTTTCTATGTGATAATACTTTTTCTTTAATTCTATAAACAGACATAATTTCTTGTTCAGTTACAAAGTTCCACTGTTCAAGTCCTATAATTGCTGTGTCGAGAATACCGACTAATTTGTCAATTGAAATTTTTTCACTTTTAATAACCTCTGTGTCACTTTCTTCGCTATCGGAAGCGAATTATAATGACAAGGAATTTGATTTAAATCATATTAAAGACGGAGTACATCTAGATGAAATACTACATTTAGTAAGGAATTATAAGCCAAATAAAATAACAACATCTGCCTGAAGATAAGGATAGTGCTGACAGATCAACTTCCAATTCATTGTGTGCCGCGGCATCGCCACCCCGCTGAGCAGCGTGAAATTGATAAACAGATTTCGGAATGGTTAGATAAGCAAAGGATATGCCTTTATACACTTTTTGTTTAATGGACTTCGAAACATACTTTCACTTTGTAGATCCTTTACATATTAGTAAATATATATCAGAAATTCTATTTGACATAACTGAAAGTTCAAGCTTACTTTTACAAAATTGCTCTAACAATCTGCAAAAAATAATAAGCCGGATCCAATTCGAAGATTAAGGAACAACGCAATCTGCAACATTAACTGAATTAGATAATTTTAGCTTAGCTTATACCGTCCGTTATACATTAAACATGCATTCGTAAACATATTTTGCGCATGCGCACACACCTATTCGCAACCGTAAAGGTCTTACGTGCATGCATCAATGCGACGCATGTGCAGAAAGTTTGTAGCTTTGAGGTCCGGATTATGGGTGTCCGAATTAACGACTTTTGACTGTATCACAGAGATAGGGAAAGGGTGTTAAAGGACCCTTGCATTTGACTCAATAGATGTTAACAGATGGCATCAGGGATGATCACAGAAGCCAACAATTATGGCTTAAATCAAAGATAACGATTAACTAAAATTAAGAAAAGTAAGTTAGCCTATGGCTGCACAATTAGAATAATGCACAAGCTGGTTCTGACCTAAGGTCGACATAACAAGCGTAATGGTGAGAATAATGCAATGCCATAGAATACTACTCACAAGAAAATCAAACTAGCAATGTGGACTTCAGCAGGCAGAATATATTCTGATTCTACCCTCTAAAACTTTTCTTTAAATATTCTCTTCTTTTTATCTCATTTGAATATCATGCAAGCTAGAAATTTACTTTTTGGCAGGAAAATGGAAATGAGAGAGATAGGAAAGCAGCTTTAACATGAAATAACTGGTTAAGAAATTAAATGAGACCTTACAACTATTTTGTAATGCATAGATTCTAAGGTTATGATTAATGTTCTATTGTCTTCCAAATAGTTTGAACAGCAGGTAACAGGGCAACACCATGGCTACCTTTGCTTCAGGATTTTCCAAAATTTCCAATTTCCCCACCTGTCTTTGGCTTGTATTTCCTGATTTCCTAAGTCAAGTTAGAAGGATAGCAATTTTTATCGCAAAACTGTTTATATGATCTTAGATCATATGATGAGTAAAGGTCATTTATGTAAATAGTGATTATTTCTCTAAACAAGTAACTTAATTAGTGCTTCACATAGCCAGTGGCCTTTTATTTACTAAGGTTCATAACTGCAAAGAATTCTGCAGTTAAATGGTAATATGTATTTAGCTGATATTATTTTTAATGACACATTTTTACATACTGGAATACACTTTATGTTATTTTTAAGAACTGGTTCCAATGATTCATTTTGCCTTTCACATATCAAATGGATATAATATGTAAGATTAAAAAAATTTCAATTTAGCAAAATTATTTTTAATTATTAGTTGGTTGCATAAAACAATTTCAGTTAATAATACTGTAGAAGTAAAGAAATCCACGAAGCTTGGGACCAGAGGTTGTGCGGATTTTAGGATTTCGCAGATTTCAGGACAGAGATAAATCATAATATTCGAACTAAAAGTGCAAAATAAATAAGGTGTATTAGATACATTTAATTAAATTATTATATACATTATTGTAATAATTTATTATATGCATTAAATTATTATTATTATATATAAATTGATTATATTATTCATTGCATTATATGTACACATCATCGAGGTTTGCCGATTTCGCCTCATGCAAAGATTTCCAGTTTCAGATTCCGGTGTTGGAATCCCCGTTGCTGTAAAATTCAACAGCTTTTCTTTATTTTTCCGTATATCATACACAATCGTGTTGCAATTCCATACCATTCTGCTATAAATCTAAGAGTAGCACCTGCTTCCATCTTTTGCAGAATTTGCACTTTTGCGTTACTGTCAATGCAACGTGTTTACGTTTTTCAATGTTGCAAGCAGTAAAATCATGAGTGCATTTCTTATCTGTCATTGTATTAAAAAGGGCTGAAATTAAAATATTTTTAATTTATCCACAAAATATCAGGATAAAAAAAAAAGGCAGCACTAAACAATCTCGTGAAATAACAAAGCTCGGAAAATACAACAACGTGAATCGTGAACTTGAACGAAGAGTTGAGTGAATCATCCGCTTATTTACCTTGATGCAGAGATTAGAAGGAAAAAACTTTTATCTTATTTTTTTAAACTTTTTTATGTCAATAATTTGGTATTTACATTATGACTCATTATTATTTAGTAATTATGAGGTATTTATTTGGTAAGTATTTTTTCTTTGATATTTTGTACTCAATGTTGCTGTTTCTGGAACCTATAAAATGAATGTTTATATTTTGAGAGGCAACGTCGATTTTCGGTATTTGACTGTAGTTGCAGCTTACATATAATTTTATTCATTTTTCAACATTTTTTTTTTTTTTTTTTTTTTTTTTTATTTATTTAGTAGGTGGTAGTGTTTAGTGCTGCTGATTATTATTTCAATTTTAATTATCAGGTTATTTAAAACAGGAACCAAACAACAAGTCTCTTACTAAAGAACTAAATGCTACACCTTTGTTGTGCTATGAGTTGTGCAACTATATAATTTTGTCTCATTTTACAGCTGTAAAAATATTTTTTCACAGCTGTTTTTCTCATTTACTTATGTTTACTCATCTTCTACTTTGAATTATATATTTTTCTGGTTTTAATGCCACTTTAACTTTTTAAAATTTTATATAATCTTTCAATACTTCCTTTATTAAATGCATAACATCAACATATTTCAATGTTTTTAGTTAATGTTTAATCAATAATTAAAGAAAAAAAGAACAAAAATACTTACCCAATAAACCTCCAAAGGCTATGGCACCAGATATTGCAGCAAAGTATATGAAAATCACAGATGCAACACTTTGCATATTCAACCCATCGATAATATCACTTTTAAACCATATAAAACGATGCCGAATGTCTTTAATAAATCCACCAAATATTCTTCCTGTCCGCCTTAAGGGATCATAAATAGGCTTTTCAGGTAGTTCTGTTATAAATAAAAGGAATATAACATTCATTAAAAAATGCACATATAAATCATTACAAAGTTGCCAAATACAAAATGTTAAAGAAAGAAGAGTCTTAATGCTCTAGAAACTAATAAAAATTATAAAAAGTTCCCATAAGAAAATACTCAGTTAAAAATGTTACCTTTGATTACTATTTATTTTAGCTGAATTTATTATACTGAAAGGATTTGAATGACACTTATTTAAAGAAACTAAACACAGACTGAGTTAAAACTTCTCTTGGTACAGTTCAGAGCATTGAATTTAGTTCAATCAACCAGAATTTTACTGGGATAACACAAAACACAAAATCAGCACAGGTTTTGTTTGAGATTTATTATACAATTGGTAAAATGCAATTAGAAAGATTTTTATGTCTAAAATTTCTGTTATGAAAATGAAGAAAATTTTGCAAATTTATAAAGCATAATGAAAAGAAATTTTATCTGGAGGAGTTTTGGTTGAATACATAGATTTATTTATTGTATGCAATTTATTATTAAAATAAAATCAGTTTGAATATATCAGACATACTTATTTATTATAAGCAATTTATTATCAGAATATAAGTAAACTTCATGCTAAAAATCTCAAAAATATAGAATGCATTTTTAAAAGACTTCTTGCTACAAATATTGTTATTATGTTCTTATGTTTCATGGAGCATTCACATTCTTCAACTCCCACTTTAAAATTTTGCCAATCACTATAGCCTTTAGTAAAAAATATCTTAACAGAAGTAAAAAGTTTACATGCATAACGATAAACTAATTTAATATCCTTACTATTTATCAAACATTCTCTCGAATCTTTCTCACCATTTGCTTTTGAAGAATAATTTTTGTAACAATATTGTAATTTTCACCCCAGCTTCAGATGAAGTTATTTTAGATATATTTACTAAATAGTAGTATATGTTTGAAAGGCAGCTTGTTTTTTAATTATGAAATCCTGGACAATGAAATTAAAATGTGTTGACCATATATTACAATTCAAGAAGTTTTTAATATATATGTATTAATTTTATAAAATTTATATGGGGAACCAGAAAGTGCTGTATTTTTCATTTCACCCAGCCGGCTTAGTGATTAATCATGCTGACTGCCCTATCAATGGGTCTGGGCTCAAATATGAGAGAAAGCACGGACTGTTTGTAAGCATATACTGTCTGTGTAGTAAGTGAGCATTCAGAAGCAAACGGCATGCCGAAAGTCCCCTCCAGAAGTTGGTGGTAAAGAAAGAGGGTAAGGGGCCTTCTGTTCTCCCCTTCTCCTCCCTCAATTTTGGGGAGGAAGCTTTACAGCTAGCAAGGCTTGGAGATGCTTAATATGCACATATGAGAATACTCAGGTGCCAACCAGTAACCAGAGCTGGTGCAACTACTGCAGCTCCACAGGGCAGTAGAATTTAGGGGTGACAAAATTTTTAGAATTTTGGGAAGCAGCAAAATACAGGGGCAGCAAAATTTTTAGAATTTAGAAAGGCAGCAGATGTAGTTTTTAGCACCTGGAGCAGCAGGTGGCAGAATGAATAGTGCTGGCTTAGCCAATACCTGTAGTTTTTTTTATCTAATAATAATATATTTTTTAATTTGGAGTCAATGATGTAATCACCTTCACTATTAATACTTTTTTGTAGCCCAGAGGACAAATACATTGTCTTCTACATTTCTTTCTTTCTTTTTTTTTTCTGCTCAAGAAATGTTGCAATGATCAAAATAAATAGTAATCAGTAGGTCAGGTATATTAAGTACATGAAGTAACATCTCCCACCCAAATCTTTCATTTTATCTAGTGTCTTTCTTAGATCATCATGTTGCAAAACGATACTTTATCTGTGAACAAAGGCTGGATACTTTTCAGTCAAAGCCTGATTTATCAATCTAGTTATTCACAACAAAGTCTACAATTATGTTTTGGTCTGGTTTTGGCACTCGCAAAATTGGTTATGCCCAGAGTATTCCACCAAACAAGCAAATGTACCTTTCTACAGCATAAGCCTGTCTTTGGGGTAGCTAAAATAGGGTTTGACTAAGAGAGAACCATAATTCCTATGTTTGGGATTGCCATAAAGGACCGATTTCACATTTCTAATCACTACATGATTGAGAAATATGTACAGCAATAAATTTACCAGGTGATTAAATGCTTAGCTTTGCTCTCTTCTGATAATGTGTGTGGAACATAAACACCTTAACCTGTCTGTTTCAAGTGTTATCAACCACTCAAATATTCTTAAATGGTTGACTAAGATGTGATAAGCTTATCCAGTAAGTTTTTGATCATTTGATAAGCATTTGCAAAGCGTTTTTGAATGGCTGACAAATGGGTGATAAGCTTATCCAATAAGTCTCTGACTGTTTGACAAGAATTTGCTTCCATTTCTACCTGCAAAGCATCATTCATTAAAAAGAGGCATTGTCTTTCTTGAACAAGGCAGTCACAAATATCAAAATCAACTGAGCTGACCCTAGCAGACGACCTTAGGCATTTATAAACATTTAAAAGATCTATCAGAAATAATTTTTGTAGCTTTTATTACATTACTACTTTTCTGAAGCTCAAATAACACACAATGCTATGCAATTATTTCGGTTTTTATCTTCGACATTTCAAACAGAGAATTTATAAAAATGAAATTGATCTGTAAAACAAAAGAAAAGTTGCACTCATTTTCAAAAATATCTTGAACAGCTTCAGCAAATGCAATAAACATATTAATATTAAACAAATGTTTTTATGTAAAAATATGGCATTACTTTCCGGTTCCCTTACATTATTTTTCCAGCACTGAAATCAGGCTACTCTGAAATGTGCGTTATTTGTCCACTGATTAATCTAGTACTGCAGATGGGCATACCTTGCTGAAATATGGCTCCCAAAAGATGTAACAGCTCTGGCAATAAAACATATTACAGGATATCATCCAAGTATTTCAAAGGATTACAAAAGATAACTAAGAGTTACCCTATATTATAAACAATGGCTTGTTTCTCAAAGCAAGAAGTATGGTAAATAAATATAGGCCAGTCTACAATGAAATGAGGGGTATAGACCAGGCCTATTTTATATATGAATTTTCTACTTCTGAGCCAAACAAAAAAACTCAGATTTATCATTGAATCTAGCATAGCTTCAAGCCAATACATTCTAAGCTTTGTGGCTCCAACACCAAAGCAAATACTGATGTGCATGATCAGAAGTTAGTAAAATTGCAGGAAGTGCTAACAATATCTGATTTTTGCAGCTTGTCACAGCCATATTTTGTGACACCACATGTCCAGAACATATGGGAAAGTGGATCCAAATGGAAGATAGCAAAGCAAATTTCTAAGACTGCATGATTCTCCTGAAAACTCTTACTCCAGAATCAATCACTGTTTTTATGATGATTATGGATACCAGCTAGAATTACCAGTAATATTATCTTTAAAATTATATCAAAGCTCTGACCCTTGTGCTAGGCAATTAATTCATTGGTATGAGCAACTCATTTCTCTGAAGCATTTATGACACCTCTGTTACGTTTGCTCAAGGGTTTAACTCTCCCTAGGTGGATCTTAAGGGTATTTTTGTTTTCCAACACAAACCTTACCAAATAAGCAGATTGAATGACCCATTGAGTAGATGTAAGTACTATTACCCCAATGCTATATACAGTAAGAATGTTAAGTCTTTAAATACAAAAGTTAGATAAGATATCTCTTACACTATAAAGATATTAGTTTAGATGCACTGGTTTAAAATTAACATTAGCAGATATGCTAAAACTCAAAATTTTGCATTTAAAGAAATGTAAAATTATATGACCCTTAAAGCTCCTTTTTCTACAAATGAAAATATTTTACAACATATAATTTTATAATTTTTGTCAGGGTCATATTTTTCATATTAAGCATTATATGCTTTATTCATAAACTTTGATTCAAGATAAGGAACAACTTACTAATTTGAAGTTTCTGATAAAATGCTGGTATAAAAATGAAAATTTCATAAGTTTTTTAAACAAAAGGTGTAACATGATTGAAATCCAGCTTCATTTTATTTATTTCTTACACTGGAAACACGAGTCTACAGCAAACCACTCAACAGAAATTTAGACATGCAATCTCTTCAAATACGCAGTATGATGAGCAAAATCCTCCCAGCATAAGCAAAATTTTATTTCATCAAAAAATAAAGGTATATATAAGATCAAATTTAAAAAGAAAATTCAGATAATAATTTATAGAAGTCTAATGACAATCAGTATTCGTGTATTATCTGGATCATGAATAATAACCCAATAATCAGTGCATTGACAGAAAAATAGAGCAGTGTTTGGTGGAATACAAATAAATGGTATGTGACAGGAAAGTCAGTTCTGAAACTTTAGCAAACCTATAGTAAACAGACACAGTTACGTTTGCAAAAATTCAAAGAATAAAATGGGCCAGCCACTTAATATGATTGAAAGATTATCAAAATTTAAAGTTGTTTTCAGTCTAACTCAAAAGTTGGGAAAATTACTTGAGAAAATGTTGGGAAAATTACTTGAGAAAATATTTAATGTCATGAAAATAATAATAATAAACTGGAGGCGAGTTCAAAGAACACATATGGAATAGACTTTTAGAAAAATCCTAGGTTTTATGTCAATAAAGAGAAAAACTTAAAAATAGACTATTGTACATAATAATTCCAAATTTTGGCTAGAAAAACATTCTATATGATTAAAATAACAAAAAATTTAAAACAAATAAATATAAATTATATAAAGATTTTCCGTTAGGCATTTATTTAGAAAGGGAAGAAAAAAGCAGAATAAGGGCAATATTTTCCTTACACCAATACATACTACATACACAAGACATGCCACTTATTAAACTCGTTAATAAACTCAGTAGCTTATTACATTTTAAATAACTGCCACTTATTAAACTCAGACTTGCAAAAGACTGATTCTTCAGTACCAGAATATCCTGTATGTACCTACCAAAGTTTTCATAATTCCTTCACTGTATTCTTACTATTGTGTACCATGTCATTATTGTTCAGGTATGCAGTCTTTCAATAAAATGGGTTTGACAAAAATATTCCTGCCTTCCAGGCCCTGTATCTGCAAGACACTATTTTAAGAATTCTTTATCGACACTGGACTTCAGAGGGGCAGGATTTCCATTACCTTAAAGTTAACAAAAACAGTCCTATAGAGAAACTGCAAATGAGTGAAGGTTCCTTCTTGAATATTAGTTGATAGCAAGAGAAAGTGCCACTTCTGAATCGCTTTTATTGTTTCTGTATTTAAAATCGACCCTTTAGGACACACAAACAGAGAGTCAAAAAAGCTCATAAAAGATTTCTAAACATTACTGTTCATTAACAGCCAAGGAAAATGGAAAGGAACTATGCTTCACTTGTTGAAATGCTAAGTGAAAAGACTTAAGCCACAAATTCTAACATTTATCCTTTGAATTTAAAGTATTATTCAATCTTTCAATGTCATTACAGAAGAAAACGTTCAGTAAATGATGAACAAAATTGAATTTTGTGAAAATGCAAGCACTTTGAAAGAGGTAAGTAAGTTGATATATCTCCTAGAAGCCATTCAAAGTATAGTCAATACAGGTTAATCTTTTAAAATCAGCTGAAAATCTGTTTTAGAAAACATGGCTTTTATGTAGAAGAAGCTTCAAAGAAATTGCAAACTATAGCTAATGTTTCAGATACTAATGAGGGAAGTTATGAGGCTTCTATTTTAGAATTTGTGTCAATTTACAACAATACTGAGACAATGTGTATAAAAATTGACTATGAGAGTGTTAACAGAACTGCAGAAAATGATAGAAAAAATGATGAGACGTTATCAACCATTAATTCTAGAAAAGCACTGCAAATTTCTTGAATTGAAATGTGCTGATCACACAAAAGCTACTAGCAGTTTTACAAAACTGAGAATATAATCAAAAAAATTGTTACTGAACAATATGAAACAAAAACACCTAGTATAGTTGTTTGAAAGACAAAAAATTTCATCAGTAATTATAGAAACATTTTTAGAATGAAAATAGTTGAATTTTAATGTTAATTTTTAACTATTATTTTAAAATTATTTAAAAAATTAATTGTTAGTTATTATTTTACTTGAAAAATGTAAAACTAATATCACAGCTTGCAATACATAAAGCACCATTTACTAAATTCAGTCACTTAATAATGAACTCAAATGTATTTGGAACAGAAGTGATTTTAATAAATGACAGGTACTGTACACACACACACACATGTGCCAGCAAGCAGGCAGGCAGGCAGCTACAGACATTATATTTTACAAACAGAAATTACCTTTTTTTACATCTTCAATTTTACGGACTTTCACTAAACTTTTTCTTCGAATCTCATCAATTGGTAAAAGTGATTGTCTTTCCCATTTTCCAGGAGGTACCACAGTACTCAGGTCTAGAAAGCTATTGATTGCATGAATCAAGTCTTTCTTATTAGCAGCTTTGTAGGCCGAAACATGGAAATCCTGTTAATTAATTACTCATCAATGAAATGCAATGATGAAAATATTAATGATTGGCATAGTTTATTAAATAAATAATTACCATCTGCAATAACATAAAGCTGCTAAAATGAATTTTATTAGATCTATAATCACTGAATTTAAACTAGTAGATATTTGCCCTATTCATTTTGAGGCAGTGTGTTTGCATGTTTGACATTTACATGCAGTGTCCATGTCCGCTGCACCGTACCCATATGCACTCGCTAGAGTGCACTGAACTTTTCACCAAGAGATTATCTTGCACTTTCCTGCTTGCTCATGGTCGACATTTGGCGTCAACTTATCACTATTAATTAAATTTTGTATTTTATCGTCTTTTAATTTTAAATAAAGTTAATATTATGTTCTATCAAAGTTTACAACCTTCCTTTAATGAACCTTCTGACAAGTTTGGAGTCTTGCGGCATAAACCATCGCTACATATGGTGACCCAGGAAGAATGCTGCAGTTATGAGTGCCCGGAGTGAAGTGCTCGAGGAAGCTGAGTACTGAGATTCCATGGCAGTGATATCTGTGCAAACGATGCTTTTGTGGAGCTCCAAATCAGGAATATTTCAGGGAAAGTACCTATTACTTACTATATCAGTTCAGATATTGGATAATTTTTTCACAGCTTTATGTTGTGTTTTGAGGTGTAGGTAAGACTGGTTCACAGAAGTTGATTTTTTCTTACATATTAATGTGTCAGTATTTTTTTAAGTAGTGAATATTTTATATTTTTGCTGATATGCATTTTTATTTCAGTGTGTATCTTTAATAAGTATGGATGTATGATAATTTTTCTATTTTTTTAAAATTATGTTTTAGTATTTATATTAAAAATACTTAGTTGTAAGGAGTTGGCAATGTCATGTAATGAAAATTCCACTGATGAAATTGCAGCTGAAGGTCCAGTGGTTACACATATGTTGTAGTTTCGGTAAAATTATTGCCTTTTTGGAAAAAAAAATCCTGCTGTAGGGTTTGTCAGATTGAATCACAGTTCTTCTTTCCTGATACGTAAATCCTGCACTGATTCTGAGTGTGAAGCATCAAGAATTCATACTTCGTTGCAAGGTTTAGAGCCTGGTGACCAATGCCTTTCTCAGTTATTGACTTAATGTGCACGTTGGCAGGTGATACCGTAGGTGAACCTTTACAAAATCTTTGTGGCTTGCAAGGCTTCCTAACAGTGCAGAGTCTATTTTAACTGCTTTTGGTGAAGATGATTTGAGTAAATTGGCTATGGTTGCTGATAAGTTTACTGAGCTTGTATCTCATTCTTATGTCGAAACAACTATTGTGAGAGCTAAGCCAAGTGAATTTGCTACTGTTTGTTTGGAATTCCAGGTAACAGAGCTGACTAAACAATTTACTGAGTTAACCTCTACCTTGAGATGTCCTTCTTGCAGTGCTTAGGGCAGCGTAAGCTTTGCAAGTCATACAAACATATAAATCATTATAAAGAGCAAACAAATTAGCTTTGCTTTTATCATGTAAATTTTAGGGCAAAGAAGTGTCAATCTCCATGTTTCTTTCACGAAAAGGGAAACAAATAAGGGGATTGTCTTTTGGCCAAAATAGCAATACTTTTGGCCAACCCTTCTTCAAAATATTCAATTGCCCCCTCAATATATAATTGATACTGGTATGGATGTGTTGGTATTAACAAAAAACTATGCTCGCTCTGTGTTCTAAGCCTTCCCAGAATTTAGTTTCATTTGCCATCAATGGAACTAAAATTCCAACATTAACTGGCACTAAATGCCTTACTTTGAATTTAAACTTACGTTGTACTCTTAGTTGGTTATTTGTGACAGATGTAAATCAGTCAATTATAGGTGCAGATTACCTTAAGAATTACAGATTACTTATTGATGTTGGTAGTAATTGCCTTATTGAGTCTAAAACTAATTTGTCATCACATGATAAATTGTTTGGGGATTTTTTTTTTGATTCGGGCATATCTGTAATTCATGGCGATTCTAAACTTGATAGATTACTAGCTGAGTATCTTGAATTCACTAAGCCTTCTAATGTAACCACAAAAATCCAAATTCAACAGTTTTCCATTGCATTTAGACTAAAGGTCCTTCTGTGTTCTCTAAGTCTCCTCATTTCTTGCTGGATTTATTCCAAGTGGCAAGACAAGAGTTTGAACTCCTTATATCACAAGGAATCATTTGGCCGTTCAAAATGCGCCAGCCCTCTTCAGATGATCCGTAAAGCTAATGGTGACTGGCACCCTTGCAGTGTTTATCGTTGCCTGAATGCTATGACTATTACTGACCAGTACCCTGTATTGCATATTCAGGATTGTACACAGATATTTTTTAGAAAAATTATTTTCTCCTCACTCGATTTGGCTAGGCATACTATCAAATTCCAGTTAATCCAGAGGACATGCCTAAAATAGCTGTGTCCACCCCATTTGGATTACTTGAGTTTCTTAAAATGCCATTTGGTTTATGAAATGTAGGACACACATTCCAAAGATTTATTCATCAAGTACTTTCTGGTATAGATTTTTGCATTCCTTACTTCAATGATCTACTTCTGGCTTCAGCGGATGAAAACGAGCATGAAAACGACCTTTCTAATTCTTGATACACTGAAGAAATATGGGTCAAAACTGAATGCTGTTAAATGTGTTCTTGAAAAGTCAGTATCATTTCTTGTTATTTAATTACCCCTTCTGGTATTCAGCCACTTCCTAAAAAACTGCAATAATTTCTAACTTTCCTAAACTTATATGTAACAATATCTGAACTAAAAAGATTTTTGGTAATGTTGAATTTTTATCGATGATTTTTGCCTAAGGCCGCAACTACTCAAGCACTGAAAGATTCTAAGAAAAACGATAAACCTCTTATTCTCTGGATAGCGGAAACAACTATAGCCTTTGAAAAATGTAAAACTGATCTAAGAAATGCAGTGACGCTTGGTTACCATATCCCTGGTCAGCGGTTGTCATTAATGGTTGACACTTCAAATGGGGCTATTGAAGCTGTTTTGCATTCACTATGTGATAAACATCTTCAACCACTACCTTTTTCCTTTCAAAAACTAACTCCAGCTGAAACTAAGTACAGCCCATATGACACAAAATTACTCACTATCTATCGAGAGACAACATTTTACAGTATACGGATATCATTGCCCTCTCATATTTTTATTTAGGAAAAATTCAAATTTTGCATCTCCCAGGCAGATAAGACACATGAATTATAATGCCCAATTCAGAACTGACATACAAAACAAACATTCCTGGATCAGAAAATATTGTGGGAGATGCATTGTCACGAATTACTGCTATCAGTAAGGTGGATATAACAAGTTTTTCAAAGACTGATGACTCTCAACAGAATGATTCCAAACTGAGTCAATTGCTGTCTATAGAAAGTAGCTCATTAAAATTGCAATAAAATAAAATTAAAATTGCAATCGAAGCTTTTCCCCGATTTAAATATATACTGCAACTTTAATGGTGACAGGAATCGTCCAGTTGTTCCTAACCAATTGTGAAAGATAGTATCTGATTCTCTTCATAGACTTTCTCCTCCAGGATCGACAAACTTGTTTTGTATGGCCTTCTGTGTCAAGGGATTGTGTTGCTTGGAACCGTACTTGAATCAACTGCCAGAGGTCAAAAGTCATACGGCATGCTCACAACTCATTGCAGTCCTTTGCTGTAGCTAGTCAATGTTTCAAACATCTGCATTTGGATACAGTTGGGCCCTCACAATCTTCAGAAGGATACACTTACCTTTTGACTCTTATCGACCGATTTTCCCAATGGTCAGAAGCAATACCTATGAAGGATATTTCTGCAGGAACTATCACTCAAGTGTTTTTTACCCATTAGATTGTTAGGTTTGAAGCTCCTCCTACCATAAGTACCAATCAAGACTGACAATTTGAGTTACAAATGTTCTCTACTCTCAATAAAATTCTTGGTGTTTACCGAATTTAGAGGTCTCCATACAACCTTGCAGCTAATGGACTAATTGAGAGATTCCATAGTTCATTAAAACAAATGTTAATGTGCCATAATAATGTCCAATGGACAATGAGCCTTCCAACTGCACTTGGTTTGAGCAACATACAAAGAAGATCTGGGAGAAAACATCCTCAGAAATGATTTATGGAATGAATATTCATCTCCCTCCACTATTTTTGCAACCTATCCAAGTTTCTAAAGACAATTAGAGAGACAGCATCAGCCCAAGTTAATAGTAAGTATTTCATGCACCTAGCTTTAGAATTGTGCACTCACACATATGTGAGTCACGATGCAGTAAAACCACAGACTCACCTGTATGATGGACTATTTAAAGTAATAAAAAGAACTAATGAAAATTTTGTCCTTCTTATTAAAGGTAAAGAATCTGTGATTAGCACTGATCACTTTAAACCAGCATTTTAGTTTCAGATACTGTAGCATCCGTTCCTGTTCCTGAGCAGACTCCTACAGTAAAACCGAATGACACTATAATTCCAGTGCAGAATACTCATTCCAGTAGAAGAGTCACATTTCCTAGGTATCTCTGAGCCCTCATGCCTTTGGCATGTATTGGAGGGAGTACTGTGGTGGAGTATTTGCATTGACATTTGCATGCAGTATCCATGTTTGCTGTACTGTACCAGCACACACTCTCTATATAGCAAGTATAAAGACTTAAACTTTTCACTGAGAGGTTCTCTTTCACCTGTACTTCACTGTTCCTGCTTGTTCTTGGTCGACATTTGTCATCAGCTTACAACCAAGTACTAGTTTCATATTTTACCTTTTAATTTTAAAGAAATTTCATAGTCTACCAAAGTTTTTGACCTTCCTTTAATGAACCTTCTGACAAGTGTGGAGTCTTGTGGCATAAACCATCGCCACAATCTTTTATAACATCAATCTTCAGTATAATTAAGGAAAAAAACAACAAAATAGAAGCATAAAGACAACATAAGTTAAGCTAATAAAATCTGAGAAAATTTTAATGTCATTTACACTAAAAATATAATAAAAATGAAGAATTCAAATACTTTGTTGAATACTTTACTGAATAATAACTAAATATTTTAGAAATATTCTGTTCAGGGATGAGGAATCTGCAGTGCTATTTCTAATGTACTTGTCTTAAATGTACAATATACTATTTATTTCATAACAAACTGAATATTTTGAGGCAAATTTAATCATTCATTTTTCATAAACTACTATTAGTCTTGCATTAAAGAACTTTTTAAAGTATATAATTCTTGTAAAACTATAACATTTTTAAATATATAATTTTATTAAATAGAGTATTATTTGAAGAAAACATTTTTTTTAAAGAGAAAGTAAATCTCCACTGCTTTCTACAATAATTTTTGAGCATTTTGTAACAACAGAATTTACATGATACAGAACTTGGAATATGAAATATTAATTTTTAATGCAATACATGAATGCAACAGCAGCAATAATAAAAATCTATTACAACAAAAGTAAAGTGAGTTTGACTCATTGTTTGTTTATTTAACTGAATATGGCAAAGCATATGAGAACTACTTGACTAGGGAAAGGGAATGCTTTTGCGGAGGTCTTGACAAAGGAAACTAATTAACATTATACAGAGGAAAAATAAAAAATATATCTATGCAGTCAGCTTGATCACCAGGATTTTACAATAGAGCAAACTATCAGTGTCAGAAGTTTGCCTTATTATTAAAGAACATGCGTTGTTATCAAAGTTACACAATGAATGTTGTGCACCATGGCTTTCAGAGTTTAGTAATAGAAGACATATTTCAGCCTTAATATTTTTAGATGTAATACTATCATTAAAATATAAAAATTTGTAGAAGGAGCTTAATTTGAGGTGACAAAAATAAAACAATTCTTACATCGAACATTGTGTTATCATTTTTATACAATTTTCATGTAACAAAAAAATCTGAATCAACAACTACTTAACACACACAATACACTACAATAACTAAATCAATTCTGATTAAAAAATTAAAAATAAAATTAGAATATTTTATCATCATCTCTCTCAACAATTTTCCTCACCATAAAGTGAAAGACAAAAATATAATAAAAATTTACCTGATTATTCATAAGAGAACCAAGAGCTCGACCAACTTCATGATAATCTAGAGATGAAGTTGGGGGTCCCAAGAGCACAAAAATAAAACGAACATTGATCGGAACCTGAAAATTACAAAGAATATTACCATATATGAAATGGAATAGAAAAAAAAAAAAAAAACTAATTAAACATGGCAGTTAGCATGTTAACAAAACCATCCTAAATGATGGTCAAATTATGAGATTTTATTTAAATTAATTAGTTACTTTACATTTCTATCATTCATGGAAAATGATTACTAATAATATAGGTTACTAATAAAAATATTAAATTCATTACAGGTATAAATTTCATTAGGAGACATTCAAATTTTAACTGCTATCTTCAGATGAGTGGCAGAATACTTTTAAATGCGATGCAATACGTAGTGTTTGAAAACGTATTAGAATTTTATATAGAAGTGTACCAAGATTTCACTTTAGGAAGGCCAAAGCACTGAAAGGCTCACAGATGATGACATAAAATTTTGGGTAAAATTATGTAACTATGCATTGGATAGAGAAATATATTTATAAAAAATAAAAACTTTGCACATATCAATTCATATAATAATTATACTTGTATTATTGTAATATTTAAAGACATAAACTTTTGAAGTATTTGTATTAAATAAACTGTTTGGGTATGAAGTAAATAATATAAATTACTTAACTAAAACTAATTGTGATAATGGTTTTCAATGATTAAACATGTGGCACCTTGAATGATGGTCAAATGCTATGAAGGGTGAGACCAGGGATAAATAGAAGGGCTAGGTCATTCCTTTGCTCGACTCCTTGCCGACGCGAACCTGATGGAGAGGGTTAACTGAAAGTAATCTGACGTGTCTGTGTTGCACCTGCTTTGATTCCGCATGTTTAAAACTGTAGTTTCATTCAGTTGCGAGACGAGTTTCTGGAGGTCACATATCCCAAATTAATTTTAATCATAAATATTTGTTTTCTAATAATGCAAATATTTAATAATTTGTGTATATATATATAGTTTTAGTCAGTTTTCCTTTTAAATTCTATATTGAAAGTATCCTTTATGTAATATGGCTTCTTGTGCTGTAGCAACCTGCCGTAACACTTATAGAAATATGAAAGGAAGAGATATTGTATTTCATGCTTTCCCAAAGGACAATTTGCTTTTTACGAAAGAATGGATACATAAATGTCGAAGACAGGATTCTATTAATGTGAAAAACGCAAGAATTTGCAGCTAACATTTTCTGTGTAGTGATTATGAAGATGACATGAGAAATCACTTGCTTGGATTCCGCAACAGAACTGTTGAAATGCAATACTGTGCCGAAAGTAAATTTATCCTGTGCAGTAAACAAAATAACACCAAGAAATTGGAGACATTTTAAAGGAAAACTAATGCAGAGTGCTTTTGAAAGACTACACAAATTAAGCCCAAAGAAAATTTATTTTGAGGCCGATAACGAAATTGAAGCTGACAACAATAAATCAAATGTGAATGATTTTGAAATAAAACTCACAAGCGGCAATGCATTAAGTGACAATATCCCTGAATGACCTAAGTGTAAAGATAAAGAAGAATGTATTGATAATTTGAAGAACAAAATAATATATTTAGAAAATTGTAATAAAATATTGAAAAATAGAGAAAACAAAAACTTTAGAATGTTTGCTCAGTGACAAAGAAGGTGAACGACATCTAGAAAGAAATTTGTATTGGAAATTCAAAAATTAAAATCCCAAACAGCGAAATTTATAAAAAACAGCACATATCCGAGAATTTGGATAAACGTCTAAAGCATAGTTTTACAAAGATGCAGATTAATGCATTGCTAGAAAAGAAGGAAAAAAATCAGGTGGACTAGTGAAGATATTTCACGTTGCATTGTCATAACAGCTCTGTAGAATACGTTTCTAAAATAGAAATGCATACGTTTTTTCCCAAAGAAAAGCAACCCAAAAGACAAAAAAGTAGATTGCTTTGAATGTGGTAACCAATAAATAATATTTCAACAACTTGTAGTTGCATTGTGACTGTACAAGTAAGCTTATATACAGTCAAAAGTCGTTAATTCAGACACCCATAATCCGGAATGATCAATAATCTGGACCTCAAAGCTACAAACTTTCTACGCATGCGTCACATTGACGCAAGACCTTTACAGCTGCGAATATGCGTGTGCGCATGCACATAATATGTTTACACATGTGCGTTTAATGTATAACGGACGGTATAATCTAAGCTAAAATTATCTAATTCAGTTAATGTTGCAGATTGCGTTGTTCCTTAATCTTCGAATTGGATCCAGCTTATTATTTTTTGAAGACTGTTAGAGCAATTTTATAAAAGTAAGCTTGAACTTTCGATTATGTCAAATAGAATTTACGATATATATTTACTAGTATGTAAAGGATCTACAAAGCGAAAGTATGTTTCGAAGTCAATTAAACAAAAAGTGGAATTGCTGCAAAAAATGGATAAAGGCATATCCTTCGTTTCTCTAACCATTCCAAAATCTGTTTATCAATTTCACGTCGCAGCGTGCAATGAATTAGAAGTTGATCTGTCAGCACTATTCTTATCTTCAGGGCAGATGTTTTTATTTTATTTGGCTCATAATTCCTTACTAAATGTAGTATTTCATCTCGATGTACTCCATCTTTGATATGATTTAAATCAAATTCCTCGTCATTATAATTCACTTCCGATAGTGAGGAAAGTGACACAGAGGTTATTGAAAACGAAAAAGTTTCGATTGACAAATTAGTCGGTATTCTCGACACAGCAATTATAGGACTTGAACAGCAGAACTTTGTAACTGAAGAAGAAATTATGTCTGTTTATAGAATTAAAGAGAAAGTATTATCACATAAAACGAAGCAACTTAAACAACTTACATTGAAAGAAATGTTTAATAAAGTAAACAAATAAATATTAATTTTTTTTTTGTAAATTTTGATACTCTTTAGATCATAATTGTTCTTTATTTCATAAATTACGGTTTCATATTTTTAATTTTATAATTTCTGTATTCCATCTTACCAGATTTAAACTGATGATCTATAATCTGGAAAAATCGATAATCCGGAATCGTCAAAGTCCCGACGAGTCTGGATTAACGACTTTTGACTGTAATATGTTTTGATTTGAAATATTTCTAGATGACATTTTAGAAGTTAATAGTGTTAAGCATATTTCAAATGAGAACTAATTTTGTTAAGTTTTTGTTAAAGTTATTTTTATTTTATCCTGTGTTATTATTGATTCGATTTTGTGCTACCTTAGCATTCTAGATAAAATATAATAATATAACATTAAAGTAATTGACATAAGAAAACCTGCCTCCTTAACCCCCACTTTTAAAAAATTAAATATTTTTTTTTAGGTACTGTGAGTAAAGTTGTTTTGTCTAAATTAAGACAACAATTTTAATGCATTTATTTAAATGTAATATTGATGTAAGCCTAAGTTACAAAATTATTAAAAAATATGTTATTATATTGAATCGGGAGAAAAGTATGCCAATGTAAAATTTACAATCAGGCTGAAACTCAAACTTAGATTAGTAGAAATTTTGAAAACTATGCCAAATTTAAGGTTGTTTTTTGATTAATTTTAAATAGCCGTTATTATAGTTATCTCAAAAGCAGTAGTACAGTTCTCTTAGTTAACATGCAGATAAAGAAATGATTAGAAATAAACAGGCATTTATAGGAAAAAAAATCCCTGCAAATTAAAAAAAAGGAACTTTATGCTAAGAATAGCGCATTTTATCTGCTATTTTAAAAATGAGTAAGCACTATTAAATTTTTTAATGTTTAGTGTAAAATGCATACTGCAGTAATATTGTCTCTTCTAAATTATAGCTATCTTTCACACACAGTTCATTTTAAACGCTGGTTCTTCAGATTTAAAACGCTAATTTCTATGTTGTCAGTTGCATCTCCGCGCTCAGTGTCATCATGGCTACGTCATCACTTCCCACTGCCTGTTTCAGGGGGAAAAGCTCTATGAGCTAGCCCTTCTCTTTTAAGTCCTCGGTGAAACTATTATTATTTATGTTCAAAAAGTATTATAGTTCATGCACATTTTACTGCATTTACTCTAACATCCTTCTTTGACATCAGAAATAAATAGTCTTTGATTGCTTTAATAAATGCCTCACTGTTTCTCAAGCTACTAAAATACTTTAGGTTTTAAAACTGACTACTATGGAATAACATTAAAATTCAATCATTACTTTAAAATGCAGCTTTGTTTAATCTTTCCTTTCTACCAAGTAATTAGTTTCTAGAATCGTAATATAATATAATGACAGAAGTCATGAAATTTCTAAATATTTGAAAGGAATTATAAAAGTGCTGAAAGTAAGTTTATGAAAACTAATAACTTTATTCTTGTTTCAAGCAGCAAGAGGGCGGGGGGAACATTTTTGCTGCTAGCATAAATACGTGCTACAATGGCAGCCAAGAACTATTCAGTTGAACCCAAAATTTTTTTTATAGTTGAAATGTAAATACTATAAAAAGCTATAACAAACTGGGAAATCAAAATCTGAGAATGCATCTGTGTTTCTACAAATCTGGACTTTGCCTTGATTTCACATCTTCAATCACATCACAATTTAATTCAAAAAAAAGTTTCTAAATAATGCATTACATAAATTTATAATTCTGTTTTACTAATATGAAACAATACTGACTATCAGACTAATACTACAAGATCTTTAACCGTCACTGTATGCCACAGAAAATGATTCCATATGAATAATTAATTATTAAATCACATTTACTTAGAAGCTAGATGCAAATTAATTTTCATACATACTTCTAGAAAATATGGTATTTGTTGCCCTTCTGCTAAACGCATAAATACACTTGCAGGTTCATTAAGCTCATCCAGTTTTCCAACCAAAACTGCAACACCTTCAGCCTTTTCTGGTATTCTACGAAGAATCCCTTGGTCCACAAATTTATCATATGAAACACTTTTCCTTTTAGAAGAGGGTGTTATTTCCACATTATTCTGTTAACAAAAAGAAAAGGATTTTTGACACATTTATTTACATGTATAACATTAACAATTATAATCAAACTTTAGCACTTCAATAAGCACCTCAGTAAGAACTTAAATACTGTATAATATGAATCCATAATTTTAAAATTAAGTAAGATAATCAGTAAATATATATATTTAAATGGTGCTTAATGTAAACTACTGTGCATATGAAAACTTTTTAATATCAATAAAATAATTATCACTATTAATTAAAATTGAATACAGGCTATGTATAAAATAAAGTTGCTTACAATGGTTAGGAAATTCTTACAATCTGATAGGAAATTCTCCCACTATTAATTTTTCAGCAAAAACAAAGCCTAAAAATACCAATCAAAGAAATTTGTGAAAAGTTATTCATTTAAAAAAGATGGGCATTATAAATTGCAAAATATTAATTTATAAGCTATTTAAGACTTTTTGAATGCGTGCACGTGAGTGCGAGAGAACAGATTTTTCTACCCTTTCACTGAGATACATACTGATAATAAATGAATAGGTTCATATCAAAAAAAAAAAAAGAAGAAGAAGAACATGTCGATGTAAAGTATAGCTCTAAGAAAAAAGGAAGAAGGCCTAGATTTATGGAGATTTTTATATAAAATCCAATAGGTTTACATACAAATATGTTTTGAGTTTTTATATAAAATCTGTGCCAATAAGTTTTTTCGCTTAATTTAGCAAACTGATTAATAACTGGTTATGCTATAAACTGACAGACAAAATAATATTCATTATTCAATTCATTATTTCAAGTAAAAATATTCATCCATTCCATTTCCTCCCCCCATGAGTGAAGAAGTAATGAATTTTGATCAACTTAATTAAAAATAAATTACGCTAGAAATTAAGTGAAATATTTGGCCACTTGCAATCTTAGCCTCTCACATAAAACTTCTCCCTTTTTTCTGACCTTGAATTCATTCAAACACACTTAAAGCCAAACAGGAAATTGCTCCTTTCTAAATCTGGTGTCATAAATATTTTGTGCTTCCTGGATGAGGATGGCATTTTGACATGTGGGTGGAGCAATGTCCTTTCATGCCTCAACTGCTCGACTTTCGTCAATGATTTTGTGTCCTTAAAAATGGTAAGCATAAATTCTGGAGTTAGCAAATGATACTTACTTGAGAGTTTCATCACAAAACTTGGAAAGACGCAAAGGCTTTAAATTATTTACTGTAAAACAGAGAATGTTTGAAAAGGTCTCTGCAGGCTGATTTTATTACATATTTATTCCTCAAAGAAGAATGGTCCAAGGATGAATGTCAACGTGAATAAACACCAGACAGTGACCTTTGGAGACTGAGGGGAAATTTCAGTGTGGATCCACATATTTTACTTAGCCCAAATACGGCAATTCTGTATGTTAACTGTCCCATTGAGGTAGAAATGAGCCTCATCGCTCCACAGAATATTCCAAGGCCATGACAGATCAACAGTCATTCTGTTGAGAAAAGTGATTGCGGATGAGAGACGTTGTGGCTTGTCCCTATCAAGCAGCTCCTGGATATGGCAGATCTTGCATGGAAAATAGTGCATTATGTTTCTGAGTACTTTTCAGATGGTGCTGTCTCTCTGTCGAGAAAATGCGCACATATTACTGCCCCCAAACTCTGATGTCTGTGAATCTGCCTCAACAGCTGTCTTGATGGCATCAACAAGTACCGGTATAACATGTTTACGACCTCTTCCAGCTTGAACTCCTAATTTCCTCGTCTCTTCAGATCTCTTAGTCGTGGCCCAGATACTTTTAGTAGACATTAGTCCACGCCGTAGATTCTTTCTATGACGAAATTCACGAGCTGCAGCAGAAGCATTTCTCTTATTTTCATAAAACAGCTTCACCACTAACACACGTTCAGCTAAAAAGACTGTCATTAGTACAGCAGGAAACATCGACTCAAACATGACAATGTCTGCAAACATTTTATGCTCTAATTTGTTTTGCATAAAGCTTCCTCTTCTTCCCAAGCATTACAAATCTCAACATTTTTCTTCTGCAACTGACAGCTTTTTGCGGTTTTGCATTTTATTACTCTTAATTCTTGTTCTGCATAGTTAATATTGTTTCTATATTCAGTTTTGGCCGTTTATTGTGTTAAATTTCATGTTTTCCCGAAAAGGTGCCCTGGAACAAAAAAATTTTTTTTCGAAATTCCATGAGCACATCTTGTGTATAGCCCATATACAAAATTTCGTTGCATTCTGTTCACATGTTTGCACTATAGGATGCCTTATATAGAATAAGTTTAATTATAACCAGCCGGTATATATATATATGCATAAAACAAATCTTTTGAAAACAAAATATAAACATGCCTAGTATTTTCACACATTAAGCTGCAGAAAATTATCATTAAAGACATAAATTAAGAAATTTAGAACTAATATTTCACAAAGACCAGAAATTGAAATTCATAATTAATAAATTTCAAATAATTACCTAAATGCATATATATAAGATAAAAAATATGAAAGCAAACTTCTAAATTTAATTCACTATAACCTCTTTTATTTTCTATTTCATTTGGGAACTTCATCTATTTGTCCTGAAAATAGCACTGTAAATCTAAACTGCGTCATTCAAATTAATCATGCGATCTTACATAACCCCTAATGCAGATGCCTCTTGACCAATCACCAAATTGCAAACCAAAACTTTTCATGTGCTTCCATCTTGTATAACTACAAACGTCAGCTTTGCTCTTTACTGCGCTAAGATGTAATTTCGCTGGCTTGCTTTCTATCTCAACAATATCAAAAAAGTAAATCTTCTGTGGAAAGGCATAACTAGAGTGCCAAGTGAATGTGGTCACAAATATCAATTGCAAATAAAAATGGAATTAAAATCGCCTCGACTGCCAAGTGTTATTTACGAAGCATACTATGCAATAAAAATTCATCTTCAATATGGATCTATGCATGCATCGACACTGCTCCGGGTTTTCCTTGTGCTCTTATTATTTGATATATATATATAAAACAGAACCATATTTCAAGTTTAAACACGTAAGTGTAATTCAGGAGCACATTCAAGGGCCCCATAAGCCTTCAGGCGCCTATGCAACGACATTCTTTGCATGTTGCACACCCTTATTTACGCCACTGGTATGCTGCATGACCACATTAGTCCACATAGTCCTCTTTAATGACTGGTTTGAAAATTCAGTTATTAAAGAAGTCTGACATTATTTAGAATAGGAAAATCTGAGCTTAACCATTCGCATAATTCTTGTTAATGTTCCAGGACATGGTACTAAAGTACTCACAACATTGTATCCAAATCTACAGGTTTTATTCCTTTCACCAAGCATCACTTTCTTAATCCAACCAATGGATCAATAAATCATAAAACATTCAAAGCCTATTATGTAAGGCAAGTTCACACCTCTGCAAATAAAATGCTACATGAAGAAAAGACACTAATGGCATTTGGGAAGCAATTTAACACAATGATTAAACTCGCATAGGAATAAGTGAATTCATCAACAATGAGCGAATGCTGGCATTAGCAATAGCCAGAAACTGTCAAAAATTTTGAAAGATTTTTGATTAATTGAAAATGAAGCCAACAAAATTATACACATTAGAAAAGCAGCAGGCGGCAACGACAACAATAATAAAGGATTTTATTTTATAATATGGATTGATCCAAAATGAAGGAAAAAGAGCACACTTTATGAGAGGCATTGAAAAAATTTGCACTCCTTACCAGAAAATGGTTAATGAGTTGCATCAGACATTGTCTCAAGCAAAAATCACCCGCTATTTAAAAAAAAAGAAGTGTATGACGAGTCTACATATTAACCAGTAATATAAATTTTCTCAATTAAAATTTGTTGCTTTTTTAAATTACAATAATATTTAGGTTTGTAGCCGGGCAGATGGTATGGTGGTTGGGGAGGCTGGACTGCAATACCAAGGGGCCTGGGTCTGGGTCCCGGAGAAGGCATGGTTGTAACTGTCTGTCCCCTTAATAGGAGGCGATGGTGACCCACCTATTAGGTGCCTCCGTAATAAAGAGACCACCACATCTGGCCTTGTATAGATTAATAGACTGGGTTACACTGTAACTGTTCACAATCTGCCATTAGAAAAAAAAATATTTAGGTTTGTATTGTATAAATTATACATACTTTTTTAACTTGCACTGTATCTAACTCATTTTTTCCACAGACAGTCAACTTTGCAGAATGCAATTTTTCCGTACATGCAATGAGTTAATGACCAATAAACTCTCATATTTAGCAAGAGTTTACTATAGTCCCAAATAGATTTTCCTCTTCCTGATCCCAGTACCAGCAATGGCACATAAAATCCAAAAAGTAGGGATAAAAAATTTCATCTGATGGTCTTGTTTGCAAAACTCCCACTTAATCTATCTCCACAAACCCTTGATAGTGTTGGTATGAGCATGCTCAAAGCTTTGATTGGCAATCATAGGCTTTCCAACGATAGGAGAAAACCATGGTTAAAGACAAGATTTTCTGAGAAATGACCTCCAATAAAGACTCTTTTGTGTGACCTTCCCCAACCACAAAACCACTCACTATTTTAATGACACCTAACAGACACTTTTCATTCCTCTTTCTACTCCCATTATACTTCCTTTTACCAGATTTTCTCTCATCAGTCTTCTCAACCATAGCAGGAATGTCAGTCATTTCATTCTTTTTCACACATGTCCATAGATACATCTCTACAAAAATTTCTCCAATCAGCTACAGTTTTAACTCACCTCATTCATAAGCAGATTCATTATATACCCACAAACAGAAAAAAATAAAATATCAGTTATACTCTTCTTGCTTTTTTCTAACCAAGTACTTCTTAAAATGGTTAAGTATAGGCACTTTTCTCATGACAAACCCGGTCATAGCTATCTAATCAATCCTTACGCTTGACCAGATGCATATTTTTTGTACAAACTGGCTAGTCATGACAAATACTAATTAATTCTTCAT